TGATGAGGTGATCAAGGCCTTTTGGGGGGGGAGCAAAGGTCAGTTACCTTCTTGGGAATAAAGCTGCTTTTAGGGATTGAGAGAACAGGCAGGTTTTTCAAGTTCACAGTGGTGTGTCTAGTTCCTTCTGCTTAGGGGAGGGCTCCTTGGAGTTGGGGCCTGGAGCCGGGAAGGGCTGGCAGACTGAGGAGGAGCTTGGGGGCTTAAAGGAGCTCCCTGACAGGATCCCAAAGTTCTTCTCTTGGGTAGGTCAGAGTAGAGTAGCTTCAGAAGCACTGGACTATCCCCAGACCCTGCAGATCTGCTTCTAGCCTGGGGGAACAGGAAGGAGGAAACAGAAGTTTCCACATCCTTGGGGTCTTCCATAGGCTGCTTGCCTGCCCCCACCCTTTTCCCTTGAAGCCCTGGGCTCCTGGGATAGGTGGATGTGTCTTTTGGGGCCTTACTTCCTGCTGGAGCCTCACCTGCTAAGGCCTTGGCTAGGGCGGGGCCTGGCCCTGGCACAGTCTACTGAGAGGCCATGCCAGGCTGGGGAAGGCACACAGAGGCCACCCTAGATGGCCTAGTTTCTTTTCTAACCCCTCCTTTATGCTGCCCATGGGGTCCCTGTGCTCCCAGGCCAGGGCAGTGCTACGCTTTATCTCTTCATTCTGATGTGGCCAGTGAAGACTGGGGGGTGTATGTATGCAGTGCTATTTGGGCAACCCCTTCCAGTCTACAGAGGACCACCTTTTTCCCTTTCCCTAAAGCCCAGATACTCAGGGATGCTCTCTGTGATGAGAAGAGGAAGTGCCAGCCCAGGAGAGTAGAGACCTGGGAGGGGATCTTATGGCTGGAGATAGATTTGCCTCCTGGGCTGAGGCCTGAGGCCTAGAGGAGGAAGGGGGTACCTGTTGGGTGCTGCAGCCTTGGGGAGTTGCACTTAAGGGCAGGAGCTTTTGCATCTGATGGACCTGGGTTTTTTGTGTGTTTTTTTTGACCTGGCTTGGCTGCCTGTTGCCTCTGTGACCTTGGGCAGCTTGCTTACTAGTCATCTGGAACCTCAGTTTCATAAAGTAAGATGGGCTGGTCAAGCTGATTGAGAGAACTGCTGTGGGCTAGGCCTAGAGTGAGCATTAGCTTTATGGTAACCAGAGTAGAGGTGGTTGTCCTCACCACTAAGGGGTCATTGTCTGCCCCACTCCCTTCTCTATAAGAGGGGCTCTGCCAGGGCTTTGCCCTTAGTACCATCTGATGTGTGCAGGCTGAGCCCTTGGTGGGGGCTATGGAGAGGCTGAGGGCCTGGCCCATGCTGGGCCCTCAGGACTGCCTGGGGTGGGAATGGACTGGAGGGGGCCTGGAGTGAGCCTGGCTCCCCGCCCCCACCCTGGTTAGTATGGATGCCGGAGCAGCCCTGGCTGGGCCGTGGCAACAAGTCAGAGGCCCTGGGAAGACGCCGTGACGAGGCTGGGCATGTTCTTTTTCCACATGTTCCTTCTTCATAGCCGAACAGCCTTTGGCCTCTCGCTGCCAGCTCCATTTCCCTCCCCGTGGGAGAGACTTGGTTTTCTCCTGGCAGAGCAGGGGCTGCTGGGAAGGGAAGGCAGAGCTTGCCAGCTTCTTGGTGGAGCTGGAGGCCTGGGGCACGGGTGCAGTTCTCTGGGAGACTGGGGGCCCATCCCTCCTCCCACCAGAACCAGTGACTCTCAGGAAGGGTCACCTGCAGGGGGCAGCATGAAGAGGCCAAAGCCAGCCCCTTGACTCAGGAGGCAAGCAGGGTGCTCAGTGTCTGGGACTGGTAGACAGGGGTGGCCACTTCATGGCCTGGGCCTGGGTCTGTACCAGCTGTTGCCGGCAGCTGGCCGAAGCAGTCCTGTCCGCCCCAACTGGGATTGGGGCTGAGGAGAGGACCCCCTTGCTGGGCCCTGCCTCTACCAGCCAGTCCCCAGGGCCCTCGATCCTGAGGGGCCCAGGTACCCCAAACGCTGGGTTCTCCTGCCCCCCTAACAGCTTTGTCAACAGTGACCCCCTTCCTGAGGGTTGTAGGAAGGTGGGTCTGAGCTCTGGTAGCAGCTTTACAAGGGGTCCTGGAGCCACCAGGGCCTCCTGGCCCACAGCTGTCCTTCTGGCCGACCTTGAGCAGGATTCGAGGCAGGGGGAGTGTGCCCTTCCCGGGGCCGCTCCAGTAGGCCTGGCCCCGCTGAAACCCGAAGCCAGCCAGAACTCCAGCCCTGGGCCGACCAGCTGCATGGGGGCAAGGGTAGTGGCAGAGTCCGGAATGAGGGACACAGACAGTGCTGGGCCTGAGCCGGAGAACTGGCTGCCTTGCTGCGATGGCGGTCAAGAGACTCCAGAGCCACGGAGAGGTCAGCTGCTGACTGTACCAGGTGGGCTGTGGGGGCAATGAGCCAGGTGGCCAGCTCTTTGTGGGGAGATCACTTGACCCTAATCTAGTGGTAGGGAGACCTTCAAGGTCTCTTAGAGGAAGGAGGAAGGGTAGGACTCCCTGTCCTGGGGAGTGGAAGTCCCTGGGAACTAGCCACATTCCTTTGAAACCTGATAGGGGATTGGGTACCCCCCTGGGGTGGGAACCTGGTGCCAGGTGCCTTCTGGGCAGGCTCCCTGGGCTGCAGAAGGGGGAGTGGGAGCTGTAGCCACCTTTGCCTTGTCTTCCCTGCCCTCCTCCCTGTCCTCCCCAGCCCAGGCTCAGGGAGTACAGGCTGCCTGTCTGGGTTGGGTCCCTGATTTCCCACTTGTGGGGTCTCAGACCTTGAAGCTGCTGCTCCATATTGGGTGGGGGCCCCTTCCTGTATCTCTTCTCATCCTGGGGCCTCACCAGCCTGCAAAGCTTTTCTCAGAGACCCAGTTGGGGGAAGTGCCTCCTCATGGCTTCTGCCATCCCTCGTTCTGCTTTTTGAAAGCTGACCAACCACTGCCCTTCTCCCGTCCCTGTCTGCGTTGTCACATAGTTGGCCAAGTTCTCCCTTTGATCTGGCTGCTCACTTTTTAGGGGCTTGGGGTCTGGCTGGGCTGTGCACACCCTGAAAGGAGAGGTCCTTATGTGTTCTTGTGGTTCTCAGGACCTTCATTTCTGGTTTGGAGAGGTGTGCTGGGAATGGGGACTGGGGTGATGATGGTCATTGAAGGTTCATGGTGGCCAGGGTGGAGGGCAGTGTGATGGCGTGGTGGTGCAAGAATCCAGAGTTCACTCTTGTTTCTTGACCTTGGACAAGGCTCTGAACTTTTCTGGGCCTCATACATCCTAATTTGGGGGAAGGAGGGGACTGTGATCTGAGCTCCTAGCAGTCCTCTTTATCACAAGTTGAGGGGACCCAGAGAAGAGGGTGTGGCTTCTCTTGACATCCCTCTGGCCTGCCTTTCTGTGCTGGGCTTATCTCCTTTCCCAAGGGCCCTGCTTCACATTTCTGTGAGTCTGGGTAGGGCTTGTACAGCTCTGGGGAAATGCACCCCAGCCCCACTCCTAACAGATGGGTAGGAAAGAGGAGGTGGGGTCTGGATGGGATGGGCTGAATCCAGAGCAGAGCTGGGTGAGCTGAACTGTCTGGAGCTCCCAGGCAAGCAGGGGACCAGTTTGGCTGCCAGGCAGACCCTGGGTGGGAAGCCTCCGTGGGCCAAGTGAGCACCCAGGCAGGTCTGGGTTTTGCTGGATGACTTCTATGAGGAGGTCCTCTGCTCCCCAGGAGGGAGAAGGCTCTGTTCCCCATAGTGCCTGGATTCAAATGGAAGGTTTTGTCACCTCTTCCCCCCTCTCTCCACAGCATGTGAGTTGGATGCTTTTCATAAATGTTGGACTTAACTACATACTTACAGTAATTGATTCATTAATTCAGTGCCCTTTTTTTGTGTTGGGCAAGACAGAAGGAGGAAGACAGAGCACTGGTATGAACAGCCCCCCAGAGTGCAGCAGAACAAGTGCTCTGGGAGGTGGTCACCATGTCTCTGGGGACAATGGGAGGCAGTAATTCTTTAGAGAAGAGGGTTTATTTCACTTACATCTTATTGAATGAGTAGGAGTTTGCCTGATGGAATGTGATATCGGGCAGAATAAATAAAAGCACAGGTGGGAGGGAAGATGTGTGACCTGTTCTTGGGCTTCTTAGTACTTTGGTGTAGCTACACCTTGACAAGGAGAGCTGGCGGGAGCTGAGATGGACATAAGGCTGGTGCCTGAGAGTGTTGGCCTAAGAAGCTTGGATCTTGTGAACAGTGGGGAGTACTAGAAGGTTCCGAATAGTGCTCTTGAAATAGGGAAATAGCCTGTCCCAGAGCCATGGCCAGGGTCCCTGTCCCGTGACCGGTGGAGATTAGGTTGCGTGACTAGATTGGGGTAAGGGTTAGTCACTGAGCAGGTGCCAGTTTGTGGAGGAAGATGAATTGCATGCTGACAAGGTGAGTCTTTGGTGATGCCTGAGAAATGGCCAAATTGAAAAGCTTGAGCAAGGCCTAGATTGGCCATGTGAGCTGTGAGGTGTAAGGGCTTTGAAGCCATGGGAGAGAGTGAGATGCGAATGAGGAGAGGCTGGGCCCCGGGGACAACCACGACTTGGACTGCTGGAAGCGAATGGAGCTGGAGAGGGGGAAACAATAGTACCCGTGTTCATCAAGGAAGAGGAAGAGTCAGGAGGGGATGCTGCTGAGAAGCTGGGCGCGTTGAGGCCAGAGGAGACCCTTTGGTTGGGCCCTCAGAGTTGGTGTTGGTGACTCTGGGGAGAGTGCTTTGGCTAGTGTGCTCAGATGAAAACCAAACTGGTAGACTGAGGAGCGACTGGGAGGGAGGACCGGGGATGTGGGAGAGTCTGGCAGTGGCCTGCAGATGGAATTTGTGTGCCCAGGGTGAGGTGGAACTGTGGGAGCTAGGGTAGGGCTGAGTCTCGGGAGAACAGGCAGGCACCTCCCTATAGGTGCCCACCCTGGTGGTTGAGGTGGATGCTGCTGAGAAGCTGGGCGTGTTGAGGCCAGAGGAGACCCTACTCAGTTCCTTCCTTTTGCCCACAGAGCTGCCATCAGTCATGCTACTGAATGGGGACTGCCCAGAGAGCCTGGAAAAGGAAGAGGCGCCCACCGAACCGCCCCGGGAAAATGGGCTGGATGAGGCTGAGCCGGGAGAGGAGACCACTGGACAGGAAGTCATTGTCATTCAGGACACAGGCTTCTCTGTGAAGATCCTGGCCCCAGGGATTGAGCCCTTCTCCCTACAGGTGAGATGGGGGAAAGGAGCTGGGGACCAAGGTCCAAGTCTTTTAGGGGGGGACAAAGGTAGAAAGCCATACCTTGCCCTTGCTCGTCCTGGCCCCATGTTGTAGGCAGGAAATCTACCTGTGCCTTGCCCAAGGTCACTCAGCTAGCCTACTGGATGTGGGCGTCCAGGCTCCGGTAATTGTCCCATTGCTAGGGGACAGCTTCCAGCTGGAACTGCTAGCCCTATTGGGAGAGGTATGGTAGTGGCTGGGTGGTGTTGGGGTCCCAGAGCTCCCAGCCCTCTGTTCTGTGCTCCCAGAGAAGTCACTTCTGTCTGGCTGTGTTTTTGCCATTTTCCTGAGAGGAGAGAAGTATTGGGTGGTCTGCGAGAGCAGAGCCAGCCCCAGGTCCTGCAGACTGGTAACTCATTGGGGAACCAGGCAATGCCCTCTTATGTCTTCTGTACCCAGAGGCTTGGGCCAAGAGCACCCCTTCTTAAAGGAGGAAGCCATTTGCCCTAGGAACCTTGGCATTGGGCAACGGAGAAGGCAAGATTGATGTTTTCTTTCTCCCGCTGTAATATCTCCTCCTACTCTGCTCAGGGCTTGCCCTTAGTCTGCAGGACTAGTTTAGGCTTGAGGGTAGTAGGGTCAGACTGTCCTGCGCACGTGTATATGCCCTGCACGCACACACACAGGTTGGATGGGCATGTATGTATGAATAGGGTCTGGAGTTTAAAAGCCAAAAAGTGGGAAACTAAATATTTGGGGCATTGATTCTAGGGATCCAGATACTTTGGGCTGGGGAAAGTGGTATGTCCTCACCAGGGTAGCTGGGGCTTCTTTCTGGCAGGTGTCCCCCCAGGAGATGGTACAAGAGATCCACCAGGTGCTCATGGACCGTGAAGACACTTGTCATCGCACCTGCTTCTCGCTGCACCTGGATGGCAACATGCTGGACCACTTTTCAGAGCTGCGCAGCGTTGAGGGGTTGCAGGAAGGCTCAGTGCTACGCGTGGTGGAAGGTTTGTCTGGAAGTTGGGCAGCCTACTAAGGGAGGGCACATAGAGACAGGGCCAGGTGGCACTCCACCCACCCGGGCTGGTCACCGATGAGCAATGGAGGCTCAGAGTGGTATCACATGTGGAGGCAGGTTGGAGCAGAGGTCTGCTTCTCAGGCTATCACCTGCGCACCTTCAACTTCATGGGTTAAATATCAGAATCATGATTAAAAACAAACAGACAATACCAAGCAAGGGCTTGAAATTGGCTCAGTCAGATTCTATGGAGATAAAAGTTAAATCACAAGGGAACTAAAGTTTCACAGCTCTTGTGTAGAAGGCTCCGTGTGGAGCAGTCAGCTGGGGTAAGACTGGTTTGGTTGTAAAACAAAAGGTCCTATGAACTTGGGTCTCCTGGGGAGAGGTGGCTCAGAGCTTCCAGGTGTGTCAGCTTATTAAGAGGAAATGTGGAAAAAATGTAACCCAACTGTGCCCAAACTTGCTTGATCATGGAACCTCTCCTCCCCACAAAGAAAGAGCCCCCATTAACATTTCATGAAACACATATTGGGGACAGTGTTGTGATATGGGTCCTGTTGGTCCTCAGGGCGCCCCTGGGTGAGGGCTGCCAGGGCCCAGCAGGCCTGCAGGCCTGCTCACCTGTGATGCTTGTGAGCAGAGCAGGGGGCTCTGTGGGCTCCCCAAGGCTCATGTGCACTTGCAGAGGCATTTCTTGTGCCTTTTGGCAGAAGGTTCTTTGCAAACAAGGATCCCTGCCAACCATCTGGCAGGTAGGTGTTGAAACCAGAACTCCAGCCTATATGTTTATAATGGAATTTGTAAATGGAAGCCTAAAATTGAAAAATTAGGGCCACCCATGGTAGTTCCATACCAGCCTTCTCTTTGCTGGGCAGGTTATTGCGGGGAGCAGAGCCCTGGTCACGCCCTGCCACTTCCCTCCCAACAGAGCCATACACGGTGCGCGAGGCCCGAATCCACGTGCGCCACGTCCGCGACCTGCTCAAGAGCCTGGACCCGTCAGATGCCTTCAACGGGGTTGACTGCAACTCCTTGTCCTTCCTGAGTGTCTTTACTGATGGCGACCTGGGAGGTGAAGGAGGCAGAGGGGCCAGGAGCAAGTTAGCCAGGGGCTGGCGAAGGGGCTAAGGACCAGGCCATCTCACCTGGAGAGGGCAGGGCCAGAGGCGCGTAGACTGGGGCCAGTTTCGGTGGGGAAATGGTTGGTCCCTGGGTGGCCCTGTGCTGACCACCAGCCTCGGGTCCCTCAGACAGCGGGAAGCGGAAGAAGGGCTTGGAGATGGACCCCATTGACTGCACGCCACCTGAGTACATCCTGCCAGGGAGCCGGGAGCGGCCGTTGTGTCCCCTGCAGCCCCAGAACCGTGACTGGAAGGTGGGATTCCTGGAGTAGAGCTGGGAACTGGTATCTGGCAGGGTGGGGAACTGCCACACCAGGAGGCCTGGCTCATGCTCGGCCATTCCTGCAGCCCCTGCAGTGCCTAAAAGTGCTCACCATGAGTGGCTGGAACCCACCCCCTGGGAACCGCAAGATGCATGGGGACCTCATGTACCTGTTTGTGATCACAGCCGAGGACCGCCAAGTCAGCATCACGGCGTCCACTCGAGGCTTTTACCTGAACCAGTGAGTCCTTGTGTGAGCCTGTCCTGGGTCCATGGGCAACCACTTGGAGTGCCCTGCACAGTGACCACCCTCTCTGCAGGTCCACAGCGTATCACTTCAACCCCAAACCCGCCAGCCCCCGTTTCCTCAGCCATTCCCTGGTGGAGCTGCTCAACCAGATCAGCCCGACCTTCAAAAAAAACTTTGCTGTGCTGCAGAAGAAAAGGTAGTGCCTTTGCCTCATCCCTGCCCCTTGTCTGATGTCCCACCAGGGGGTAAGGTTACTCAGCCAGCCTGAACTGGAACATTTCTGCCCTAGGAAGCTTTGCCCCCAGCACCCCACAGCCTCCCTTAGGGTGCAGTCAGCCAGGCCCTGAGGCAGCAGTTCTAGGAGAGGTGCCCATTTGCTTCTGCCAGACTCCTTCAGGAGCAGGTCTAAGAGCGGGGAGACACCAGAGTTGGTGGGGGTACTCAGAGAAGAAGTGGCCCAGGGAAGGGCTCTGAGCTTGGTGGGCTGCCCCATCTCCCCTCCTCTGCCTGCCATAGGGTCCAGCGCCACCCGTTCGAGAGGATTGCCACCCCGTTCCAGGTGTACAGCTGGACGGCACCCCAGGCAGAGCATGCCATGGACTGCGTGCGTGCGGAGGATGCCTACACGTCAAGGCTGGGCTACGAGGAGCACATTCCTGGACAGGTGGCCTGGCCCTGTCCTCCCTAGGCACCTCCCTCCCCCTCCCTTGGTGGGTGCTGGGCTGGGTTCTCTGTGCCTCCCTGGAAGCTTGTCCATCTTGTTCACTTGGGAGCCTGTGGGGCTGTCCATGGAGAGGAGGAGGAAGGGACTCCCCAGAGCAGGTGGCGGGGCACGGACTGAGCCAGTGAATCCCTCCCTGGTCCCTCTGCAGACCCGGGACTGGAACGAGGAGCTGCAGACCACGCGGGAACTGCCCCGCAAGAACCTGCCTGAGCGGCTACTTCGAGAAAGAGCCATATTCAAGGTACCCGCGCCCCTCATGTCTGACTGGCAGCCTCAGACCCACCTGCCACCATTGGCTGGTTTTTTGTGGACAGGAGGGGACCTGGGACAGGCAGACCACCCCCAACTCCTCTTTCTGGCCTCTCTGAGACTTGGAGTTCATGGGCAGGAGTTGCCTCCAACGTGGGCTGAGTGACCAGGTCCAGTCCAGCTTTCTGCTCTCCACTAATCGCCATTGGGTCCTCACCTGGGCACAAATGCCCTACTGTTATTAGTACTTTTACTGAGATAAAAGATCTGAGGAAAAAATAGTGCTTTCAAAAAACAAATTTAAAATCTCCCATAATCTTACCGCCTAAAGATGGTAATGGTAAAAATGATCTAAATATTTCGGGTACTGACTTCGTCAGGGGCTCGGCCAGGTGTTTGTAGGCATTATCTCCTGTAATCTCTCGGACACGTTGTGAAGGTTTATACTTTTATTGTCGCTGCTTTATAGACAAGAAAACGGGTCTAAGAGGTGACCTGTCCGAGTACACCTGGCACATAATTGGTGGATCCCACACCCGTACCAGTCCTTCCACTTCTTGTTGATCGCTAAGCTTTGTTGCCCTGAGTATAAGTGATAAGTTTTTTCAAAAAAGGGGTTTCTTGCCCTTTTCCAAATGTAAGGAAACCGAAGTTAGAGCCCTCAGCCCCCAATGTAGCCTGCTTGCCTCCACCACGTGGGTGAGCTTGGCTAGGTGGGACCCTCCCAACCTCAGCCCCTCCCGACAGGTGCACAGTGACTTCACAGCAGCGGCCACACGGGGCGCCATGGCGGTCATCGATGGCAATGTGATGGCCATCAACCCCAGTGAGGAGACCAAGATGCAGATGTTCATCTGGAACAACATCTTCTTCAGCCTGGGCTTTGATGTCCGCGACCACTACAAGGACTTTGGTGGGGACGTGGCGGCCTACGTGGCACCTGCCAATGACCTGAACGGTGTGCGCACGTACAACGCAGTGGACGTGGAGGGGCTGTACACACTGGGAACAGTGGTGGTGGATTACCGTGGCTACCGTGTCACAGCCCAGTCCATCATCCCCGGCATCCTGGAGCGGGACCAGGAGCAGAGTGTCATCTATGGCTCCATTGACTTTGGCAAGACAGTGGTGTCACACCCACGGTACCTAGAGTTGCTGGAACGCACGAGCCGGCCCCTCAAGATCCTGAGGCACCGGGTGCTCAATGACCGCGATGAGGAGGTGGAGCTCTGCTCCTCTGTGGAGTGCAAGGGCATCATCGGTAATGATGGGCGCCACTACATCCTCGACCTGCTGCGCACCTTCCCCCCTGACCTCAATTTCCTCCCTGTGCCTGGCGAGCAGCTGCCTGAGGAGTGCACCCGCGCTGGCTTCCCCCGCACCCACCGACACAAGTTGTGCTGCCTGCGCCAGGAGCTGGTGGATGCCTTCGTGGAGCATAGGTGAGGCACAAGGCCTGTGAGGTGCTGGGCCAGGCTCACCCAGCAGTAGGTGCTTCTGGGCCTGATCTTGATGGGAGTGGCTTTGGAAAGTGAAGAGCTGGCCTTGGCCACAGTCATTACAGACTCAGCTCTAGCCCTACCCACTCTGACATCAGGCTCAGAAACCAGTGAGCAGCTAGGCCAGTGGCCCTCAACCGAAGCGGCACTGTTCCCTTAAGGAGCATGTGGAAATCTACTAGGGTGTTTTTAAGTCCCAGTGCCAGGGGCCAAGAAAAGGGGCAGGGGGTGTCGAGGCTGCTGGCATTTAATGTTTAAGAGTCAGCCACATCATATGTCCCATACCACGAATAATTCTCCCTCTCACCATGCCACTGGGTTCCTGTCATTCTTGAGAGCCCTGGCCTGCTTGGTGAGCCACTCCCCCACCCATACCCCACCTCAGCTGTCCTCTTCCTATCTGGGAAGATCTTGGGTTTTGCTGTGATCTGCTGCCACCTGGTAGAGTTGCTGGGCTGGCATGTGCATGTTTGCATTGATACTTTCACACACAGCAGGATGTGTCCCCACGCCATCAGGGGTCCAGCCCCAATGTTTGTTAATCTCTGCAAGCCAGGAACCTGGGGCCTGGCCCTGGTCCCCTAGCCAGCTTGAAGGACAGTGAAGCTGCCACCAGCCCCTTTCCCATTCCCGTCTCTGCTCTGTCTGTTGCACTCTAGGTACCTCCTCTTCATGAAGTTGGCTGCCCTGCAGCTAATGCAGCAGAAAGCCAGCAAGATGGAGAACTCCACCTCACTGGAAAATGGCAGCCCACCCTCCTTGGAGTCCAAGTCTGAAGACCCTCTGGGACCTGAGGCGGGAAGTGAGGAGGAGGGCAGCAGTGCTAGTGGCCTGGCCAAGGTGAAGGAGCTGGCAGAGACCATCGCCTCAGACGATGGGACAGGTAGGGCTGCTGTGGATGCTGGAGGGAGCCCCAGACCTGTCCTGGCAGCTGGTGCTTGCCATGGACTGCTCAAGACCCAGTCCCAAGAGAGGCAGGCAGATGTCCCTGCGAGGAGCTGGGAGGAAGCGCAGGACAGCTGGGCCACTGATAGTGGAGTGTGCTGCCTCCCAGCGGGCCATGTCTCCGCAGCAGACCCACGGAGCCGGGAGGTGATCCGCAATGCGTGCAAGGCAGTCGGCTCGATCAGCAGCACAGCCTTCGATGTTCGCTTCAACCCTGACATCTTCTCACCAGGCAGGTGGTGGAACAGGATGGGCAGAACACCGTGGGGTCATCATGGGGCCTCAATGCTGGTGGGCCTGATTCCCCAGCTGAGCGATGGCATAGCATCTGTCTTGCTACCCCCATCTCCCTTCACCTGGCTCAAGCCTGTGATCTCCCTCCTGCAGGGGTTCGCTTCCCCGAGTCCTGCCACGAGGAAGTGAGGGACCAGAAGCAGCTGCTGAAAGATGCTGCTGCCTTCCTGCTCTCCTGTCAAATCCCTGGCTTGGTGAGGGCAGGGCCACAGGGGCGGGGGTTGTGTGGAGGGGGCTGGTACAGGCTCTGGTACCTCATCCATCTCCGACTTCGAAGGCTTGTGGGACCTTCACAGGAGTGACTCCCTTAGACCTGCTGATGAGGCAGGTGGGACAGAGTGCTTGTCCCTGTTATACAGAGGGGCTACTTACCCAGAGCGACCAGGGAGGCATCAGTGAGGCACAGGCTCTCCTCTGCCATGCCCTCCATGTGGGCTGGCAGCTGGGAGTCTGGTCCTCTGAGCCCCTGTGTGGCCGATGGCTGAGACAGGGGCAGTGGGGCCTCTGGGAGAAAAGGTGAGGGGTTTCTGTCCTCTTCATCCTCTGGAGCTTTATATATAGGCCCTGTGGGTGTCAGGGTGCTCACTCCCTACTGAAACAGCTTTGTGACCAGATGGTGCTCTCGTCTCAGACCTTTGAGCTGAGCCTGCTGTGCCGGCTGCCCTGGCCCCCTGCCCTACTCCTCCAAGGGGTGGGGTGAATCTGTGTCCCCCAAGGGGTCACCGCTGCTCCTTTCCTCCTGGTTAGAGGGGTGCTTGTGCTGCCCATGGGACTTCATCCTTGCATCCCTGTCAGGTGGGCCTGGCCTCACCCGTTTTCCTTGGCTTGTGTGAAAGGCTGGTGACAAATTCTCATGTCTTTGCTGCTGCTTTGTCTCCTTCCTTCTTTCTGACTGGGAGCTGGGGTCTCGGTCCCCTGCTTCCCCTTCGGATGGGCTTCATGATAGTGTGAGCTCCCCTAGGAAGACCCAGGGCGGGAGGAGTACAGGGCCTGGGCTGGGGGAGCCTGACCTGCTGCAGCCTGCAGGTGAAGGACTGCACAGACCACGTGGTGCTGCCCATGGACGGGGCCACACTGTCTGAGGTGATGCGCCAGCGTGGCATCAACATGCGCTACCTGGGCAAGGTGCTGGACCTGGTGCTCCGGAGCCCGGCCCGAGACCAGCTGGACCATATCTATGTGAGTGGTGCTCAGGGTGGGCTGTGAGCCGGTGGGGCCTAGCTGGAGGCCTGGCACCAACCAAGACTTCCTTCTGAACCTTTTTAGAAAATTGGCATTGGAGAGCTCATCACCCGCTCTGCCAAGCACATTTTCAAGACATACTTACAGGTACCACCACTCCCTCTCCAGCCTGGGTAGTGTGGGGTCTCCAGCAAGAGCTCTGAGTTGGGGCCCAAGGGCCCTTGTGACTTCGGTTGAAACCTCCCTTGCAGGGAGTCGAGCTCTCAGGCCTCTCGGCTGCCATTAGTCACTTCCTGAACTGCTTCCTGAGCTCCTACCCCAACCCTGTGGCCCACCTGCCCGCCGATGAGCTGGTCTCCAAGAAGAGGAACAGGAGGAGGAGAAACCGGCCTCCGGGGGCGGCAGATAACACCGCCTGGGCCGTCATGACCCCCCAGGAGCTCTGGAAGAACATCTGCCAGGAGGCCAAGAACTACTTTGACTTCAGCCTCGAGTGGTGCGTGAATGGCAGGGGCGTGGCGGGCAGTGGGGACCCTTGACAGCCCAAGGGGCAGACAGGAGAGGAGAGAGGAGGGAGCTGTGGCGGAGCTGTTGGGGAAAGGGGATGGGAGCTCTTAGTCCTGGCCGGAGGGGGAAGGTGGCGGGCTCAGAGATGGGAGCTGGGTTGCTCAGGCCATGGGCCACTCCTCCCCCAGTGAGACTGCGGACCAGGCTGTGGAGACCTATGGCCTGCAGAAGATAACGCTGCTGCGGGAGATCTCCCTCAAAACCGGCATCCAGGTAGGCGCGGGGCTCGGCCCTCCCTTGGCCCGGCTCCCGAGAGATCACGTGGCCGGGGTGGAGGGCTCTCTCTACATGTGCTGGTGGGTTGGGAGGTGCCGGCCTTTTGAGCCCGGGGCTGAGGTTGCCCGTGGGTATGTGGGTGTTGGCTGTGTCCCCCAGATCCTGCTGAAGGAGTACAACTTCGACAGCCGCCACAAACCCGCCTTCACCGAGGAGGATGTGCTCAACATCTTCCCCGTGGTCAAGCACGTCAACCCCAAGGCCTCCGACGCCTTCCACTTCTTCCAGAGCGGACAGGCCAAAGTACAGCAGGGTGCGTGGCCAGGTGTGGCTAGGGGGAGGGGGGATTCCCTGGCCCGATCCTGACCTTGCCACCCTTGGGGGTTCCCTGCAGGCTTCCTAAAGGAGGGCTGCGAGCTCATCAACGAGGCCCTGAACCTGTTCAACAACGTGTATGGAGCCATGCATGTGGAGATCTGCGCCTGCTTGCGCCTCCTTGCCCGTCTCCACTACATTATGGGCGACTATGCGGAGGTGGGCCTTGAGCTCCCGCTGGGCTGTGTCAGCAGAGGCCTTGGGGGCTGGCAAGTGAGGGAGCTGAGGCTGTGTTCTCACCCCCCACGGCAGCAGGAAGTGGAGCCCCTGCTCACCGGAGGTGGGACAGGGTGGAGCCGGCAGAGCCAGGGGGACCCCAGGAGTCCCTTGCTCTGCCTGGGCTTCCTCCCCGCATCTGTACCACTCAGTAGGGGGCTACCATGAAAGTGGAGTGATGGCCAGGTCCCCCTTCACTGGGCCGATAGGAAGGATGAATTCTGAGACTCACCATACCTAGTACCTTTTGGAAACGCTCTATGGGGCTGCTAGAAGTGTCCCTGCTGGTGTCTCACCAGCATGTGGCCTGGTGGTGGTCACTTGCCTGGTCAGCCCCAGGGCTTTAAGAGGCTGTTTCACGGGCGGGCATGCTGTGGCTCCCCACTGCCCTGCTATCACAGACTCATTTGTTTTTTTTTTAATTATTACTAATCCTTAACTTTTAGTACTATTTTAGATTTGTATATATGTATTTACATAGATTTCAGTTTGGAGAAAGAGATTTAAGACAAGTTTTTTAAGAAGGTGAAAGTCTCCGAGTGGGCATAGACATCCATGGCACAACAGCTGAATGTTGACCCCCTTCTCCGCTGCGTTTGCACAAAAAACCAGAAAGTGCTGCCACTGGGTGGTGGGCACACAGAGCAATATACAGATCTTGTAGCATAGAAACCCACACCTGAAACCTGTACGTTCATATTAACCATTGTCACCCCAATAAGTTTAATAAAGTGTTTTTAAAAAGTGTGCAGCCAGAGGGGCCCAAAGCCAAGCTACTATGGGGGCTTGAGGGCCTAGGGTCAGACACCCACCCAGGATGACAATCCCCCACTTCTCCAGGCCCTGAGTAACCAACAGAAGGCTGTGCTGATGAGCGAGCGAGTGATGGGCATCGAGCACCCCAACACCATCCAGGAATATGTGAGTGGCCATTGGGATGGGGGCTGCAGGGCCTGGGTGGGGCCCGTGGCCGCCGGGACCTGACCTGGCTGCCCCTGCAGATGCACCTGGCCCTGTACTGCTTTGCCAGCAGCCAGCTGTCCACGGCCCTGAGCCTGCTGTACCGCGCCCGCTACCTCACACTGCTTGTGTTTGGGGAAGACCACCCGGAGATGGCACTGTTGGACGTGAGTGCTGAGGAGGGGTGGCGGGACGAGCCTCAGTCCCAGGGGAGCGGGAGCTGACCAGGGCCCTCCCGACTGCCCCCAGAACAACATCGGGCTGGTGCTGCATGGGGTGATGGAGTATGACCTCTCGCTGCGCTTCCTGGAGAATGCGCTGGCTGTCAGCACCAAGTACCACGGGCCCAAGTCCCTCAAAGTGGCCCTCAGGTGAGGCTGCCTTGGGTTAGGGGGCTGGGGGGCCCAGGGCCATAGCGACAGGGTCCCAGGAAGCACTTGGATTGAGCGTGGGCGCAGGACCCAGCGCTCTGTGTTCGGTCTGACTCCTGAGATTTCCCTCACTGTCCCTTCCTTCTCCGAGGCCTGGGCTTGCCTGTTCGCCTCGGGTAGATTAGTCTGCACGCCCCTCGTCAGCCCCCACTGCCCCGGCCCGCTCATGTCCTCCCTTCCCGCACCACGCCTCCCGTAGCCACCACCTCGTCGCCCGCGTCTATGAGAGCAAAGCCGAGTTCCGGTCAGCCCTGCAGCACGAGAAGGAAGGCTACACCATCTACAAGAGCCAGGTGGGCCGCTGCCGCTGCCGG